TGCCTTTCTAGCGACTTTTGATCAAACCTTTTTACTAGTTTCCCGAGTACGACAAATGCTGATCCTTTTGGAGTTGCGCGTGAAGCAGAATTATTATTCATCATAAGAATACTATTAGCTACAGGCGAAGACGGCATTCCAAACGAGTTGTTATTGCTTAATAGACTGGATTCCATAATGTCTATTAGTGTGTAGAGGCCAAGAAGTGGGTCTACTATTTGTACATATGTGTCCAGGATTTCATCGGCTTGACCACATACCTATTATTCAGATAAAATATTTAATTTAGGTAAACTTTAACGTGTCAAAAGCAATATTTTTAAAAGATAAAAAATATTACATTAGTTGCTGGATCTGCGCGACACTCTAACAGTATGCGCAAAAGATCCCGTTCTAAGCCTCGCACATACTCAGTTTGGTTGAGCAGCAATTGTTGAAGCAACTGCAGTGCATTTTCTTTTAATTCTGGATTATTCTAAAAATAAATAGAATTTTATTTATCACTGTTGAGAAAAACAGCATGCTTTACAAAAAAAAATAAAAACCTGCAATGGATTTTCCAGAAACGCAAGTAACGCAGTAATTAACTCCGAGAACCGATCACCGTTTTCCCAAATATCAGCTGATTCTGCACCAGCAGATAATGGTGTCTCTTTTGACAAATAACAAAGTTTACGGAACATGAGGTTGTCGATATCGCTATTAGCATTAAGACGTGCCAGGAGTGTGGCGAGGAGGAGACGCCTATCTTGTGGTGCGCTAGGAATAGGAGATACTGCTTGAAATCCTACATTTTTAAATGACACAATAATTATAAAATGAATATAGATACAATATAAATTAATGCGAATTAATATTAAAAGACTCACTTTCAGGTCTTCTAAGAGCCCTAGTACGAGCTCCTAATGAAGGACTACCACCAGCAGAGGAGGTACTTTGTTCTGAAGCTCCAGGACTTTTATCTTCATTGACATTACTAGGGGGAACCTCTTGTATTGGAGTTAACGGCGATGCAGTAGAAACCCCGGCACCACCAAATCTATCTTCTGGATTAAGGAAGAACGGATTTATATTATCGCTAACAGCCGCTAATTGGCTCCACACGTCATCATTAACAATGATACTTGTTATGCGATTGACAGAAACATCTTTAGACTGGTCATTCTCCTAATTATTTCATGCAGAGATAATATATTAAACAATTCATTTATTTTTGAAATAAAAAGCAGAAAATTAAAGAATCCAACCTCATCTTCCTCAAGGTCAAATCGTTCAATATTTGGAAACTGATGATTAGTATCAATATCGGTGATTCCAAGCTGTTCAGGAGGTGGTGGTAACGAAACAATACGTTTTACAGGCGTGCGATTTGTAGAAGCAGATGGTGGCAATTTTTCTGATTGATTTGGTATTAAATCAGGGCCTTTATTTGTTGGAACATCTCGTTCACTACGAGAGTAGCCGCCATCACTACTGGACCCTTCACGATCAAGTTCTCTTGATGATGGCTCGGTTATATCAAGGTATTTGAGCTGTTCAATACGTCCACGTTCACTTTCACGACTAGGTTCACGTTGATTTCGAATATATCCTTCTTCTTTATATGACGAAGATTGTATATTGTGTACTTCAAAGTTATCATTGTCGCTAAATGAGGATCTTCGATTTTTTTCGTTCAAATAATTTCCGCGTACATCGCGAGGTATTGGTCTACCATTTCGTTCATCCCAGTCATTCTCTCGTAGATCACGAGGTATAAGCTTACCGTTTCGTTCATCCCAGTCGTTTTCTCGGTAATCTCGAGATATTGGTCTACCATTTCGTTCATCCCAGTCGTTTTCTCGTGGGTCTCGGGGGCCTGGCCTTCCTCTTTCATCCCAATCATTTTCCCGCAAATCTCGAGATCCTGGTCTTCCTCTTTCATCCCAATCATTTTCCCGTGGATCTCGTTGTCCAGGTCTATTATTTCGTTCACCATAATCGTTTTCTCTGGGAACTCGAGAAACTAACCTTCCATTTCGCTCATCCCAATCATTATTATCTCTTAGTATTCGATGGTCTCTATCTTGCCAAATGTTTTCTGGGTATTGGTTTCTATCTTCTCTTAGATAATAACCACCATCTCTACCCCGCTGTTCTGCCCATTCATTGTCTCTGCCAGAATTACCATCACCGCGCCTATTAATTTCATTTTCATTCCACTCATTATCTTTTGGAAGACGTGCTCGGTGTCTTTGGGTTGACGAATCAATGGTATCTCGACTGCTGACCGAGGAAGTTTCTCGAGGTGAGACTTGTGATGTGCGTTGATTTTCCACCCAATCGTGTGTGCTTTTTTGCTGGTAAGGTGGGGTTATTTGTCGTTGAACAGACGGTGGTCTTGTCTGTATTTGTAAAGACATTTGGCGTTGCGGTAATTTTTGGATATCTCGTTCAAGTTGTACAGACATTTGACGTTGCGGTAAATGATGAATATCTCGTTCATGAGGAGACACCTCATGTTGTTCTCTGACGAATGGTTGTTGCCCAATTTCACGTTTTTGTTTTAATTCCCATTCTCTTTGTTGTTGAATCTCCCATTCTTTTTGCTGTATTTCGCGTTTTCGTTGAGCTTGTTCTTGTGCTTCTAATCTTTTACGTTCTTCTTGTTCGCGTTCACGTTGTTTTTGCTGCATCTCGCGCTGTCGTCGTTCTAATTCCCACTTTTGCTTTTCTTCTAATTCACGTTTCTTTTGAAGTTCTTGTTTTTGTTTAATTTCACGCTGTTGCTGTTCTTGCTCCTTTAACTCGCGTTGCCGTAAAACCTCTTGCTCTTTTAATGATTCAAGTTGGCGCTGTTCTTCAAGCTCTTGTTCATATTGTTGCCGTTCCCATTCTCGTCGTTTTTCTTGTTCAATTTGTTCCTGCTGCAATTCCCATTCTCGCCGTTTTTCTTGTTCAATTTGTTCCTGCTGCAATTCCCATTCTCGCCGTTTTTCTTGTTCTATCCGTTCCTGCTCTTGTTGCTGCTGTAATTCCCATTCTTGCCGTTTTGCTTGTTCTATTCGTTCTTGCTCTTGTTGCTGCTGTAATTCCCATTCTTGCCGTTTTTCTTGTTCTACTTGTTCCTGTTCTTGTTGCTGTTGTAATTCCCATTCTCGCCGTTTTTCTTGTTCTATCCGTTCCTGCTCTTGTTGCTGTTGTAATTCCCATTCTCGCCGTTTTTCTTGTTCTATCCGTTCCTGCTCTTGTTGTTGCTGCAATTCCCATTCTCGGCGTTTTTCTTGTTCCATCCGTTCCTGCTCTTGTTGCTGCTGCAATTCCCATTCTCGCCGTTTTTCTTGTTCTATCCGCTCCTGCTCTTGTTGCTGCTGTAATTCCCATTCTTGCCGTTTTGCTTGTTCCATTCGTTCTTGTTCTTGCTGCTGCTGTAATTCCCATTCTCGTCGTTTTTCTTGTTCAATTTGTTCCTGCTGCAATTCCCATTCTCGCCGTTTTTTTTGTTCCATTCGTTCCTGTTCTTGTTGCTGCTGTAATTCCAATTCTCGCCGTTTTGCTTGTTCTATCCGTTCCTGCTCTTGTTGTTGCTGTAATTCCCATTCTCGCCGTTTTGCTTGTTCTATTCGTTCCCGCTCTTGTTGCTGCTGTAACTCCCATTCTCGCCGTTGTTGGTGGTTTAATGATTGTTGATTTTGTAATTCATAATTTTCATCATCTAACAATTGTTCAGGGTTTTGCAGATTCTTTATGTCAAATTCTTGTTCATAATTTTCAACTGTTTCCGGATTTATTTCTCTTAGCTTCTGTTGCTGTTCTACTAATTTCAATTGTTGTTGCTGTTGGCTAACTAGTTGTTGTTCATATAAACGTTTTTTGATTTCTTGTTGTTGCTGCTGTTGCTGGACAATCAACTGTTCTTCATATAAGCGTTTTTGCATTTCTTGCTGCTGCAGCGCTTGCTCAGGTTCTTGAGGCATCAAAGTGATATCCTCATAAGGTTGACGTACTGTCTGCCCAGCTTCCCGTTCTGCACTCATTAGCTCGTCTTCCCAACCAACAATACCTCCAACAGTCTGAATAATCCGATTATCATACGTATACAATATTTCCTCGAATAAATCCGGATTTAGTTTATGCATATTAACTAAAAGTGCACTCAACGGTTTGAAACTCTCAGAGTTTTCTTTAATGTTATTGAGCATAGGAAGTACTCGCTCGGTCAATACTTTGAAATTCGATGTTTCGGCGAGGTATCCATCTAAATTACCATAATTTGCTTCACTCAGTTTCGGCTGAATTATTTCATTAAGCCATGTAAGAACCCCAAAGATTATTTTTCGGCGTTGGGCTGGGGTGAATCCGTATGCGGCGCTTATTTTTCTTGGTGCTGTGCCCGATCCGCCCAATTTCAATAAACATTTATTTAATGCGGATAATGTGAGATTATTATCAAGTGTTTGTTTCAGTTCAGGCATAAGTGAAATAACAGTGCTACTTTGTTCAGTTTTCCCATCTTCGCTTGCCATCAGTAATAATCGCACAATTAAATCATCTAATGGTAAAGCCTTTATTATTTCTGGTATGATTTCAGAATCTAAAAGCGTCGCAATAACATCTGGTGTGTTATCATTTAGTAAATTTAATAAAATTGGTATTAATTCTTCATCAGG